TGTTGTAAAATGAGACGTTTTCCTGTTTATCTTCTGTTAATAAATCTATAACAAACAGCTTTTCTGACATTATTTAAAACATTAAATCTATTATGTAAATTATATAATATTATTAATAATCTTGTTAATATTAATAATTTTTATGATTTCTACATCGTCAGTCCTTTTTTCTGCTGTCACCAACATGTACAGTAATGGGAAATCCAGACTGTTGACTGTTTTGCGTTAGCCGTTAGCTTCACCAGCTGAGCACTCCAGCTGTTATACTATATACACTTGTATGGTAGAAAACTACAGGATTTTCACAAAATAAGTGAGAAATCTGAGCTGTCTTTGGATGTGCAGCTGTGCTACGCTTCACATTAGAAAAAGAAAGCTGGACTGAATGACGATGATTGAATGATGTTCTGTGATTACACTGAGACAGATGAGAAAGACACCTGATGTCATTCTATTAGAAATGCTTTGGGACAAACGTAGAGCTGTCACTGTGCTCCCAGCAGGCTGGCTCAGCTGAGGGAGCAGCAGCAGGATCTGTGGTGGTGAAGGTCCACTACACCTAYAGCGTGGCTCTGTCTGTCCCTCTGGACACACCATACCACAGACTGAAGGAACAAATTGCACAGAAACTGGGCCATCCAGCATCCCAGCTGCGCCTCAGGTGAACACATGTCTCCCGCCTCTTCCTCCTTCTAAATCCGACCTCATTTCMCTGAACACATCTCCATCTTGAACTGTCTGATGGATCAGGAGGAGTCAGACCGGACAGAGAAGCTGCAGCACCACACTCACATWAAAACACATCARTTTATTTACATTTATTCTCTTACACTTTAACTTGTCTTAACTGCCTTTAGTTTAACATGTCTCTTCATCTCACTCCTCCTCCTCTTTTTAGACATAAGGAGCACGGCTCTCGTGTCCTGACCCCCCTAAATGGGGAGGTGGAGCCGGGCTGCACCATACAAGAAGTAGCTGAAGCTGGCAGGGTCACCCTGTGGTGTCAGGTGAGGATTCAATAACTCTGTCAAATTCACATCAAACACCCCAGAAGTGGACAGTAAAGATTTACATCAGGGCTATGCAACTGGTGGCCCGTCAATTGGTTCAATCATCTCTGAAACCCAAACCCCCAGTTTTTTACTTTAATTACTATAAGATCTTGTAGTTAAACATAGACATATACAGTATCTTGGCTACAAGCTGGTAAAAACCATTTCTATGAACACTCAAGAAGACAGTTAAAATTACAAGCAGTTGAAGATAAAACTATGAAAGTGAAAATAAAATTAGTTTAAAAATTTGTCATGTCAGCAGTGTCAAAATATTACTTGTGTTTAAATAGGAGGCAAAATGTGTTATTTTTGTTTTTGATGTTATATTATCAGTACTTTCATTGCATAGAGTTCTGCATGTTGTTTTCATGATTAAATACAGCAAAATAAACTAATTCAAAGGTAACAGATCTTTATAATATTTGGCTTATTTACATTTTGACTTTAATTGCTGGATGTTCGGCCCCTCGGCTGTTTACCTGCAGTAACATTGGCCCCCTAGCAATTTAGTTGAATAGCCCTGATGTGCATACTGTACTGAGCAGCTTTACACCATTTGTCAAGAGAATAAAAATAAWAWTTTTTATCCTACTAGTGCTGCCTYATAGGTACACTACGTGTAAGTACAATTGTTATACTTGTAGGTGTACTAGTTACAGGTACACCAAGTGTAGGTAGACAAGAAAATAAAAATTGAATATTTTTTAAATTCAGCTACAGCATTCTCTGATAAACATCTGTAATGAAATTTACTCTCAGTGGCTGATAGTCAGTTATTGTAAACTCAAAGGTTATTAAAAAAAGGTTAGAGAGAACAGGATTGTGAGGATGTATTATTAAGTTCTTACTCTTACCAGTGTTTCCCAAAGTTGGGGTCGGGACCCAAAGTGGGGTCCTGAAACATCAAGGTGGGGTCCTGAAAAAAGTTTCTGGATTAATTAGATTTTTGCCTTAGCTGTTACAAAGGTGTGAGTTTAGTATATTTAAAACGGATAAATGTAGTATAAAAATATTGTTACTATGTCCATGTTTAGTTGACCTGATACAAATGTTTATCATCCAGAAACAGTTGGAGGCTCAGGTCTCTGCTACTGTTATTTTGTGGGTCAAAAGCTGAAAAGTTTGGGAACCACTGATCCACACCATACGTCAGAACCAGATCAAGAGTGTGATGAAGGGAGTGGGGAGATTTATGTACATTTTGAGTAAAACCATTGAATTACTAAAAGCTTTCTACATCTACATGAATATTAAAACCCCCCCATTATTTTAATTTTATCAGTATTTAATAATAAATCAGACAAAAAGTCTGATTATTCAGATAAAAACTGAGAATAAGGGCCTGGTGGATGATAAATAACAACAAATAACAGATTTTTCTGATTTCCATTTTGGATGAGAGACTGTGGAACAAAGACTCAAACAAATTATAACTAATAACTACAGAACACAAACGCAACTAAATAACTTGCAAGTTAAAATCAACAGACATTATTGTTTTTAACTTTACAGTAAACGATAGATTTGATTTAGTTTTCAGTAAAATCGTGGGCTTTCTTTTTCTCATGACTGTTGTGCGTGGAGAGTTTATCTACTTAAAACCCACCTGAAGAACAAATTAGATAATTTTCATTTTTAAAACACTACATTTTAAAACTGAAAGAGTCATTCTATTTTCAACATGACTGTATCAATTTTTTAATCTTTAGCTATGATGAAATTAGCTGTTTTTCTGTTGTTGTGCTAAATGTCTTCAGAGAGAAGACCCCCTGGCAAGTCGTACCATCCTGTACCAGATGGTGGCACTGTACGACTACACGGCTCAGGGTCCAGAGGACCTGGAGTTCAGTGAGGGGGACACGGTGGACGTCCTGAGTGAAGGTGARCTGCTGCAGCTTCACGCTTCCTCTCAGGTGGGAAAAACTGACTGTGTGCTCTGCTGTCTTCCAGTTAATGAGGAATGGTTGGAGGGACACTGTGCAGGAAAGATCGGCATCTTCCCCAGCTGCTTCGCCTACAGGGAGACAGACAACATCATGCAGAGCTCAAACTTTTAGCTCTCTGCACTCATCTGTCACAAAGCTGGAGCACTGGCTGACTTTAGAGCTTCAAAACAAAAGATCCTTCCAGAACCAGAACAGAAGCAACACTGACAAAAAATGATGTAATGTAACTCAGGTTACAGAAGGTCATAAAATAACTCAGATCTCTGGCTTTTTACAGAAGCTGAATTAAGTAGAATAATGCAAAAATAGAATTTTTGGTCTGAAACAAATAAAAATGCAGAAGAAATCTGATTACTAATATCATAACTGATGAAAATCATATTCATGCTACACTTGCTGCATTTTCCTGTTTTTGAGTGGATTTATAAATGTATTATTCTGTTTTTGTACTTGTATTGTTTAGCACTTTGGTAACAAGCTGTTATTTGCTTTATAAAGAAATGTGACTTGTTTTAATCTCCACACAAAGGCAGACAGTAGTGTTTGTGTACGTTACTCTAATGAACCTCTGCACAGATTTGAATAAAACTTACATAAAATCACTGTTGTGCCTCTACAAGTCTTTTACCTTTAGAGTCATTTAAAATCAAGATGGCAGCCATAGCTGAGATAAATAAACAACACAAATAAGCTAAAACTATGTCTACAACATTCCCCACTTAAGTGTTTTCTATTGGAGTCCACACAGTTTGTCTGTCAGCAACATATCTTAGAGCCCACTGGATGCATTTTAATGAAAGTTCGATGAAGTAATGAGTGGGTGTTTGCCTGTGTGACAGATGTGAGGGATCTTGTTTTATCCACTCTGCTACACTCAAGTTTAAATGAGCAGATACTGATTAATTCTTACTTTATTCACCTTTTAATAATCAGACTAACCACTGAAGTGTAAAATCGTATAATTACAGGGAACTTGTTTTTTTTTTTTTTTACCAGAACTAATAAATATTCACTCACTGAGGAGGAAACCAGATTTTTCTTTTGTGGTTTTATCACATACACTAAACAGAAATATAACTGCAGCACTTTTGTTTTTGCTCCCATTTTTTATAAGCTGAACTTACAGATCCAAGACTTTTTCTATGTACACAATAGACCTTCCTTGAAATATTGTTCAGAAATGTGTGTAAATCTGTGTTGGGGGCACTTCTTTGCAGAGCTAATCCATCCTGTGGCCTATCAAGATGCTGATTAGACAGCCCTTAGGCTGCCCACAATAAAAGGCCACTCTGAAATGTGCTGTTTTATCACACGGCACAATGCCACAGATGTCGCAGGTTTTGAGAGAGCATGCTGACTGCGATCAGAGCTGTTGCCTCTGAACTGAATGTTCCTCCACAATAAGCCATCTCCGAAGACGTTTCAGAGAATTTGGCAGTTCATCCAACCGGCTTCACAATCTCAGACCACGTGTAACCACACCAGCCCAGGACCTCCACATTCAACATGTTCACCTCCAAGATCATCTGAGACCAGCCACCATGGACAGCTGCTGAAACAATGGGTTTGAACAACCAAAGAATTTCTGTACAAACGGTCTCAGGAAAGCTCATCTGCATCGTCCTCATCGGGGTCTCGACCTGACTGCAGTTTGTTGTCATAACCAACTGGAGTGGTCAAATGCTCACATTCTGATGAATCCCAGTTTTCACTGTTCAGGGCAGATGGCAGATTGTTATTTTAAAGCCCTGTCACATTTTAATGTTTTAGATACCTTATGCTGACTTGTGAAAATTGTTTATTTCACTCAAATCATAAAAAAGAGACCACTTTAAAATGATCCGTTTCTATGATTTTACTCTTTATATATTTGAGTTAAATGAACATTGCTATTTTATGAACTACTGACATGTCTCCAAAATTCCTAGGAAAAAATTTGTTTTTATTTGCAGAAAATGAGAAATGGTCAAAATGACGACAAAGGTGCGCAGCTTTCAGACCTCAAATGATTCACAGAAAACAAGTTTGAAGGATCAAGTGAAATGCTTTCCACCACATACAGGGAAACTACGCTGTGGTCTCGTAATTCTTTGCAGAGCTGTATATTTGATCCAAATGTTAGTATTACAGGATGTGTAGTCCAAATGAGGCTTCCAGTGGATTTTTTTTTAGGAATTAGTGGATTTTTTTTTTCAATTCCATCTTCAGTTTGGACATCTTTGGTGTTGGACAAACTTTTCAGATGTTGTCTAAAAGATTACAATGTGACAGGACTTGACAAGATATTCAAGTTTGTTTATTTA